CAAATGAAAAACACTGTTCATCACAAGAACTTGTTTTTTTCAATGCTTTAAATTCAAGCATGTGAAAATGTCCTTACAGAAGCACTATAAAACCAAGGTTTAAATTGTAAACAAGCAGAGACTGCGGTTGGAGGGTTTTTTCCTTCCCTTATTTGAGCACTGTAAAACTTTAAAATGTCTTACAGGAGGCAGTGGTTGTATTATTTCATGTAAGAAAACTGCTCGTCTTGCTATAGATGTATTAAATTCCAAGTAAATGTTTTCAATTGTACTAACTAGACTAAAACTTATTCAAACATATTTCATGAAGATAGAATTTCAAGATTAAATTATTTTTAGGTTTAAAATCTTATCAGTTGTTTGACTGTCACAGTTACTGAATGTACTTTAAAACCAAAATGAGTCCTGAAGTGATATGAGATGATTACATTCTATGGGTTTTAATAATATCCAGAAGGTTAACAAGCAATGAGAACAAGGTGTATATATTGTGTACATTATAGCAGTGTAGGGCTGCAAGGGATCTCCAGAGGTTGTCTAGTTCACAGCCTTGTTCTGAATGAAGTATTTGCAGAGCATTCTAACAGTTATTTTAATATGTAACATGCTGTGATTGAGCGATCTGTTTCAATAGGTAATGATGTGCTCCATTACTTCCCTTCCTTAAAATAGAAAGCTTTTCCTCAGTTTTTTAAGCCTTTTCTGCAAATTAAGCTAAATACTTCAATTTTTCCTGCAATGAAGAACAACTGAACACTGGTTTTATAACATATTGTAATAGACTGAGAGTTCTTCGGTGTATCATTTCCATTGTTTTAGTCAGCCTCTTACTGCAGTAAAAAAAACCCCAACCCTGTATTTCTTGTCTTTTATGTGTTATTCCTGTAATAAAGACTAAATCTATGCCTCTCAGCACTATATTGTTGATTCGTATTAGATGTGATTCAGTTACATCCTACAAATCTACCTCATTAATCCTAGTTGCTATTTTGTAGTTGCTTGTCTTTAAGTGTCTGAGTTCTATTTTGTTGATTTTTTTTTTTTTTTTTAACCAAAGATCATCATCTTTGTAAGTAGGTTTTCAGAAGTGTTAGCAGCTGCTTTCAAAACGGTATAAGCTGCAATTTCACCACCTCCTTTTGTGCTTTCAATTTTCAGCCACAAATAAAAAAAGTACAGAATGAGACATGGAAGGAAACGGAACCTTTCATACCTGTGGGCTCGATAATCACAATTCATCAAAAAGCCATCAGTAACTACTCATTGAGCACAGATTTTAAACCATGTAACGTTTTATTTGATTTACTGAGATAGGGCAGGAAATTGTCATGATAGCATTTATAATTCCTTGTTATAAGACATCTCCACTTAAATACTTCAAAAAGTCTTGTCTTTACTATAATTACTTGAGGCATTGTTCCCATGTACTTGTTTTGGAAGACCTTTAAATATTTTTTTAATTTAAAAAAAAGAATAATTTTTGCTGCGTAAACTTTCAAACACTTAATTGAGATGAGATGAACATGATAGTGATATTACTGTATTTGTAGTATCATGCAAGAACGTTTCTGTGGTGGTAGAATCAAGCTGCCTGGTCCAAACAACAGTAGTTTTGGGAGGCTTGGGACATACTGGAACCACTCCACCTCCAGTTCATAAGGCTGCATCCCCCATGGGAAATCTGTATGGGATTTTATCAGCATTTATTGTATCACAAAACACAGCTACTTAGCGATTTCTTCCTCCTCAACGTTCAGAAAGTTTGGAAGCAGAGAGAGACTTTTGAGCAGCAAGACTGACTGGCTTGTTGATCCCAAGGAAGGTATGACCACTAAAAACTGGCATAATTGAGAGATTAGGTGTAATACAGAGGAAAAAAGGTTTTGCTCACTGTTAGTTTCACAAATTCCCGTCTTTCATCTACGTTGAAATCAGTGAGCCACGTGTATAAACATACTGCTGGGTAGGGCCTATGAAATGTGATAGTTAAATTTATTAAATGATACGTTACTTTACCATGAAGATAAACTACTTAATGATACAGATAAATTTCTTTACCAAAAGATAAATTACTTGTAGTTGAAATTCCATGAAAATGAGACTCCAGAAATGCTGCATAATAAAATGTAAATACTATGTACTCTTCCAATGCTTTTTGTTCAATGAGGGATCTTAACCTTCTTCCAAAAATTAAGTATTGGTGAAAAAATAATATCTTGTTAACTTGTTACATCTTGCCCTCAAGTTAAACCAGGCAACTTGTTTGGCTGTTTATAACTGTCCCACAAATCCCAATTACTTGTTTGTATTTCAATGGAGGCAATTTTAAACATATGCATTATGAATTAGAAAACTCTTATTGTCATCCAAAATGAAGAGGTGCTTAATACTTAAAGTATTTATTCCAGGAAATACCATTGCAATGAATAATAATGTAAAAGTGTATTATACTGATTGTCAAAAGGCAAGGTAAGTAACCCATTATGCACATCAAACCTCAGAACTTGCGTCCTAACAGCTCGCTCATGCTGTGATTAGCTTTCCTGTTTATAAAAAAAGGAGAAAATTAAAAGGCACTAGCCCTATACCCCAAAATTTAAATTTTGTATAAGTAATCGCACCAGCAGCAGAAAATTAGGTACTGCTGAAATTCAATTGTACTGGCACAGCTGACACATGGAGATCTTGAAAATCTGTGCTCTCTCATGATCACTTTCTGTAACTTTTCAATCATGGAAGGTAGGAGTTTTTTTAACATGTAAATTATAAGCCTTATATGAATTAATATTATATTGTTAAATTATATATTATAAATATATAAACCTTTGTCGTGGTTTAACCCCAGCCGGCAACTGAGCACCGCACAGCCGCTCGCTCACTCCCCCAGAGTGGGATGGGGGAGAGAACTGGAAGGGTAAAAGTGAGAAAACTCGTGGGTTGAG